CTGCCCAGGGGCTGGGGCCGATGGTGGCAGACAGCACTGCCCTGCCCACTGGCTGGGGCCGATGGCTGCCTAGCACACAGGCACTGCCCTGCCGAGGGGCCGATGGCTGCCCGGCACAGGCACTGCCCTGCCGAGGGGCCGGGCCCATGGCTGCCTGGCAAACCGCACTGCCCTGCCGCGGGGCTGGGCCCGGTACTCCCTCCCTGCAAGCAGAACACCATGGACACCCTCCACAGGCCAGGAGCGATCCTCCTCCCCTGCACAAGGGACAACAGCCCACAAGGCTGTGGTGAAGTTTTCCTCCAAAGGCCGAGCCAGAGGTGACATAGTCAAACAAAGGATGACATCTGCCCTGTTGTCACACTGCCTGCTCTTCCCCAACACCACGGCGGCAGAGTGACCACAAAACATATATATAAAGGGACTGCATATTTCCACAGCAGGAACACTAACTGAGATATGGGACAGAAGTCACCCCATGAGAAATTCCCTCTGGCAACACCCAGGGCATCTGTAGAGAAAGCATCACAGTCTAAAATTTGAAAATGCCGAACCACATGCTTTCTTAATAATATGGCCATTTACTAAAAGCAAGGACAAAAACAACCCTGCATGCAATCCTTGATCCTTGCATACAAATCCTCAAAGACAGAAGGTCTGTATACACTGGGGGCCTGACAATTTGCAAGTTTTAATTCTACTGAGACTTTTCAAATACACAAAGTGGGGAGAGTCTGTATCTCCTTAATCTCATAAAATCACAGAAGTATAGCTAAGTAAAAAAATATACCTTGCTCCAGGCCACATTTTCCTTTCTATCCATTTACCACTTCCTTGACATTATATAGCTTGTAGACATGGTGTTGTTTCTTTTTAATTCATATGCAAGCCTTCTGTAATCCCCTGCCTGACTCTTATTTTGAATATCCTCTCATGTAACACTCTAACAGTCATGAAAAGCCCTGCAACACATACACTTGGTATTCCTTAGAGATGAAAAACAGCCTTACTGAAGAAAATTCAGCTATAAGCTGCTTAGTCAGAATTCTTTCTAAGAAACCACTGTGTATTCCTTAAAAAACCAGCATGACTCCTAAGAAACAACTGATGTCATACTTCATATGAAACTCCTGTTCCCCAAACCTATGGGTTTTGCACGTGGGATCCTACGATATTACATCCTCTCAATTGTTCTCTATTATATTTCATTGATGTATGAAATTAAATGCTCTCTCTAAAGGGAATGCACTATGCCTTCTATTAAAACCATGGTTTATAGATTTCACATTCAGGTAAAACAACTTTGCAGGAAATCAAACCCAGAGTCCAAAAACTGACAATATGACACATATCTAATGCAAAAAGAATTGTATTGAGATGCTTGGAGAGATTTTCCTTGTTCAGTTGTCAAAACTAAATTACCAGAGGAGCTGCAGACTGAATTAAGACTCTCCAGGGCTGCACCCATCCATAACCTGGCTTTCTTGGCACATCACTACCACAGCAGGCATTCAGAAAGCTCAGGGGACACTGCACTTTGCTCGGCCTACTTAGCAGAGACAAAAAACACATCTAAGACTCCCAAAGAATACAAATACTTTATGACTAAGCCAACCTCTTCCTGTGCTGCTCTTCATCCTAGCAGCTGTGTTCCTCCAAGTGGAAATTGAGAAACAGGCTGCTATTGCTACAGTATGTGTATTATCATAGTTACTTCTCCACAGCAAGGAGGTTGGACTGCTTTTTCTGTCATTGTAGCTGCTGTCACATTAAGCTTCAGATATGTTCTGAATAAAGCCTTTAGTAAAGGCAGAATGTCACATTATTCCTTCTTGCTTAAGCTCTGAATGTCAAAAATTATTGCTAGGTTGGCTGCAAAATGTGGGCACCCATGAGGTCTCACAGCCAGGTGCTGAACACAAACATATGCCATATCTAGGTTGCTCCTACCTCCTAAAAGTAACTCCTTTGAGCTTTTAATTCAGATATAACATCCCCCCTGCTTTCCCTCTCCCACATTTTTTGGACCCACATTTAGCTTTCTGTGGCATTTTGATTGCTCCTTATTAACAAAAATGAACAAGAACTGAATAGTCATAACACAGCATGACTAATGTTAATGCTTTTTTTCTAAAAAAGAAGATGTCCATACAATTTTACAGTAGATTATAAAAATTCAGTTACAGCACCTCTGCAGATCCCTGTTAATACTGTGAAATGCTTCATCATTGTAATGAGTTTCCCATATATTCCTTCCCTTTGAAGTCCTGGAGAAATGCTCATATTTTATGGAAACAAGCATTAATCTGCATGAAAGCTGCCAATGGTTCAAGGGACATCAGCCAAGGAATGCCAGAATGAATGAGTTAGACTGGCCATTCTCAAACTGCAGTCTATACCATGTTTGCTTGCTGGTCCTCTGCCTGCTAGTTGGCTCATCATTTATACTACTGTTCCCTTAGTATCCCTCTTGAAAGCTACACTATAAACAGGCTAAATAAAATATACATACTTTTAATAAATTGCTTTGAGTTTACACAGTAAACTATATTAAATGCAGAAAGATTCCCAAACCTGCTTGTCCATCTGTCTTCAATCCCTACACAGGAGAAATGGACCGTGCAGTCTCAAATGGGAAAAACCTATTAAGACTAAGATTACTGTGCTCTAGTGTCTGCAAAAAACTATCAGTGTTTAGATTCACCAGTTCAGAGTAAAGTCCTCTTGAACACAGGAAGTACTGTGCTAGAATGCTTCTTTAGATAAGAAACTACTAAAGCCCCTTCTGGATTGTAAAGCACATGAATGTAAAAACAGGAATGTGTAAGCATCAAGTTCGACTGCCAAACCAAATGGGGAAATTCAAATTAACAGCTTTCACCTGTAAAGACAAGAATGTAGAAACATCAGGTGGCAATAACAATCAATACAATCCAGGAAATTCTAAAGGAAGAAAAGATTTAATTTTATACAGAATGAAGTAAGAGCTGCAATGAGATGACCCTTTTTCAGTTCTTCCCTTGAGGTGTGTCCCATTTCCCTTGAGGTGTGTCACAGAAAGAGTTGTATAAGAAGCTGTGTAATGAAATGGGACAGCGGATTTGTGACAGTTCCCATGCTTTTCCCCTCCTTGCCCCACCCAGCTGAAGTCTCTCTATCTGATCTTCTTACATAACTGTAACTCATTTTATTCTGCTTAGTCAGTATTTTCTTCAATCACTTCTCCCCTGTTTTCAGAAACGGTTTTGGTGAAGTTTTTTATGTCTTAGTTGGTTTTTGTTTTTTTGTTTTTTTTTTTTTTTTTTGTTTGTTTGTGTAAGCCCACACACATTTAACTTGATTGAGAGCTCACTTCAAAAGCTTCCTTTCAGCTATTTATGAGCATTTAAATAGCTACATAGGAACAAGTCAATAACTTGTCTACTATGCTTCCTGTTTCAAACAATAGCAAACTTTGGGTATTTTCGGATGCAAACGTCCATTTCCTTCTATGTTTCTATCTCCTTCAGTGTGTGCATGTATCTATCTGTATCTATCTATAGCTACTCCCTGTGTGAATTCTGTCTTCATATATACTGAAATAAAATACTTAGGCTAACTTCCTGACATGTAAATACAGCAACAGCTAGAGATAACATTTCAATTTCAAGTTTAATAACAGTTAAAAAAAATTTCCCATGGTCTATGTCTTCAGTTGTTCAGATTATATCAATTGCTTACACTGACTTTATCCTGCACTTTTTCAACTTCATTTTTATGGTTGTTGTGCAAAGCTGCAAGTATGGTACTCTACTTCTGCAGCTGAAAATTGTTTTTTGAAATTTTGAAGGATAGGCTATGAGACAGTCAGCCTGAAAGGATTACTTGTATCTTTCAGGGAACATCTCTGAGACAGAAAATTTACCCAGAATGATAGTCAAAATCAAATATATGAATATAAGACCCCATTTATTCATTTTGTCTGGACCAAGAAATAGCCGAAATTTGGTTACGTGGCTCCTCTTCCATGCGCTTTGAGCACAGTCCTCATAAGATAAGATAATACCTTCATAAGATATTCCCAGCACGTTAGTTGTCTGGAAGTAGCAATCGAAGTTAGATCTCTCCCACCACAAACAAACTCCTCCTCCACCAAACATCTTCAAATTTAAAAATCACAGTTGGAAATCAGAAAGAAATCTATCCCCAGGGGCATGTATATTCACAGTGAACCATCAGCCTTTTTTTGTGTCATTTCTAGCCATCATCTAGTTACACACCCTGTTGTTTAACACCCAGCTTCTAGTTGCAACTCTGATTAACAAAAATGTCTGAAGTATTAATTACAGACCCTGTTGTTTAACACCCAGCTTCTAAGTTGCAACTCTGATTAACAAAAATGTCTGAAGTATTCAAACTATCACCCTTTTTTCAGGGCTCATTACCAAATATACTTACAACAGTAACTCAGATTTAAAGAGAAACAGACAGACTTTGACCAAGTCCTAAAGCCCTCACAGCAGCGAAAGCCTCATTTCCTCAAATCCATGTTTTTTATTCAGGCTTTTTCTTGTGCTTTTTTCCTGCAAGCATCAGCAGGGATTTGAGAAGCCTCAGGAAGGAAAAGGAGCTGGAGAATTTTGTTCATCTGGGGTGTTGGTTCTCAATTTGTCTCTTCCTCAGTTATGTCCATTCTCCATTTGAAAAGATACCAGCCCAGTGGCTTTAAAGCACTAAAACTTATCACTGTATTCCTTGCTTGCTTAGCCAACCTTTTTATTACTTCTATGTATCTCCTGCTACATTTGTCCCATTCACCTCTGCCTTTGTTATGCTTTCCCAAGGTACCTTATCTTCCCATGATTAACACAAACGCAAAAATGCTTCCTGTGCACATACATTAGTCTCTTTTTTCACAGTAACTGGTTTATGTCAAAGTTAAAAGCTATCTATTTTCAACAAATCAGACTTTTAAAGTGGTTTTAAAATAAACATTTATAGAGTATAGTGTGCTTTCTTACCTGAACAGAGTTGTTCAACTTTTGTGTAGTTTAAAGCTAATATATCATTAACCCATGCAATGATGTCATGTCTGCTCATAGTCTCCTGGGTTATAGAGGTAGAGTACACGTTGACCGCCATTCCCCAACTAGGAAAAAAAGAGAGACAAAAATATTTTTGACATTTTGGTAATTATTTTCTAAATACAATGAATATATGCTTCCTGTACAAAAGAGGGAAAGAAAACTCAAAACCCTCTCTTTGTTTATTGAGAAAGGAAAGGTAATTTTTATTCTTTGATGATGCATAACCTCTTCAATGTCCTCTTGGCACCTGTGAACATATTTCTCTGGCTGTCACTGTGAACTTAAAGAACATACAAACCTATGGTTCATGCTTCATGCCAATAAAATAGAAAAAACACCAGAATCAGACCTAAAGATATGCAGACAGATCAGAGACCTGACATTTTGTCACATTGTGCTGCACCAATGCAGTGATCTGATACCTGCCAGTTTTTTTGCCACTGCAGGGTGACAGGCTCCCTAAACCAACACTGAATTTTAGATAACTTCTAAATTATTTAGTAGCTGTTCTATTACTGATTTCTTACTGGGACAGGGCCTTTTTGGATCATTAATTCAGTTCCTAACAGTCACAGACTGAATATCAAATAATCTCTGTTATCAGTGCACCAACGTCTCTTCTGAAAGCAACAGGGATTTGTACCCTCAGCTGTGTGGTTGGAAAACTGCTGTGGAGCCCGGTTCTTCTCAAACCTTAGAAACATTTTCTCTCAGCTTAAACCCATTTGTTCTTCTGCCAACATTATCCTGCAGCCCTAATTGCTTTTTCTTCCACAGAGTGGATTTCCTAATGCTTTAGAGACAGCACTCAGTGTCTGTCCCAATGCCCAGGTAGTCTAGATTAAACAAATCAATGTGAGTCTCTTATATCAAGTCAGACATTCACTGACTGGTCATGCCAGCAGTCCTCCTCAGTTTCAAACAGTGTTCAGATAACATTTCACTAAGACCTTGGTAAATGGCACTCTGTGTTTGAAGTTTTCACAGCTACATCACCTTAGACAAATTCTTCTAGTTAGCAAAGGTCCCTCCCTGGAAGCTGGCAACTCATAATAGCTTTTATCATCTTCCCAGGTACACAGACCAGAAACACATACTACTGAACTTTGATCCCTGTTATCCTACCCTAGTCACATCTTTCTATTGCAAGATGTTGCAAAGAGAAAACATGAGCACACTCAAGTTTATCTCATCAGTAGTTTCAAAGAGCAGAATCGAGTTCATGGAGAGAGTAAGTAATGTTCCCGTGAGTAACGGACTTCAGAAAGTCCACAAGAAGCAATCCAAGTATGAAGTGTCTCAGAAATGACCAAAGAGTCAAAGTTGAACGATTATTCTTGGTTTGTTGGGGACTGCACACCTTCGTCTCTTGTGGCAATCTGTAGCTAACACTTATCTGTCTAGCTCTGGTGCCAGTCCTGCCATCTCAGCTTTGGACCTCAACTTTCTCAGTCAATGCAAGAGAGCAGGATCTCTTCTGTAGGATCCGAGGTCTGCATGGACTACTTCCATTGAGAATTTGCAGTGATGTAACCCTTTGAAGCCTGATAGACAATTCTGCAAGGACACGACTGCAGATTAACTCCACCCATAGTTATGTGTGCTAACTAGGTGGGGCAACCTAGGTAAAACTGAAATGGGAAAAACCTACCAGCACAAAACTTGACTTGGTAACATGTAAGTGTATTAGTACATAACACAGAGAATAAATTTAAATACAAGATTACAAGTTCATAATACAGGTCACTTTCTAGGAAACAAATCTCACAAACAGAAGGTTGTTCAAGTTGTTCCCATCTACTGACATTAAGATGCAAGACATAAAATCCTCACATTTGCTTTATAAGGAATTAAAGAAAAGAGAGAGAGAAAATAGGGTTGAAAAATTCATGCTCCAATAGTCAGGCAGCCACTGCCAGAAATTCATTCAGAACCAGGCTGCCCCCCTATCCACTCTGTACAGGCAGCTCTGGAGCATGGAAGGAATCAGCCTGTGCTCCGTTCTTCCCGCGGGCTCGTATGCAGCACAGCCGGTTGTGTGAACACAGCCCTGTATTCACTATAAGAGTTAGCAAAGGTCGCTCTCTTGGCATGCACTAAGTGCTTGGACTGAACCAAATGCTAGGAACAAAGTTTTAGAAACAGGGAGTGCCCTTTTACTCTTAAAACTACACCATAATGGCTAACCATAAAAGCTTAGCTTCAACATCAGGATGGAAGGCATTGAGCAGGCAAACAACCCCTTTGATACTAATGGCATCCGAAGTTTGAAACACATGGGTTTTATTATATTATTTTTAGCCTTTTTATATAGATAAAAAACTAACCGATAGTACCACTGTCACCATTAAACTAACATGCTAAATATTGTATGTAAGATCAGTTGAAATAACAGCTTAATAATGAATTTACTAGTCACTTAGAATTAATAGTGAGCTTATTAACAAACCAACAGTTCAATACAGAGGAGTCCACTGAATTCTACAGCAACTAAAGATATTTAGATGAGAACATTTGAAATAAAGCTACTCTTATCTGTAATTGCCACTACTTCAAGAACATTTTAATTGGCCTCTGAGGCCAGGCAGAGCTCAGAAAAACCACCAGTGAAAAGGGAAAGTTCACTTTGTTAAAAAGATCAAGAAAATACACACACACAGAGAAAGGAAGCAGAACTTCCTTCATCACCTTTTTCCACAAAGAACTGCAAAGAGAAATACCCATCCTTATGCAATCCACAGGGGAGCAAACAACTTCCTCTGCTGCATTGCATGGGGTGGGGAATTCTACTGCAGGAAACTGTGAGTAAATGAATAACCTTGAGTTTTACAATGCTACCCTGAAGGATACCTGTGATACAACTTATGCTACATCTGCAAATTAATTATTATGGTCTAAGGGTCAAACAAAAGGTCAGACTATTTATTAGAGATGAGTTCCAGCTATTAGAGACAAGAGCTTCAGATTTGTACACAAGTATGCACAATGGCGTATGAGTACAGTTGCAAGCAAAGGCAAAATGAATCAGAATTGCTGTTAAAAAACTCAATAACATGTCACTACTGTTCATTCTTAAGTGTTTTGTTGACATATATGTGAATATTCCACAGCTGCTTCTCTTGAAAGAGTGCACCCTCTCTTTGCATCTCTTGTTCCCCACCCTCCTAAGGCTTACGTTCTAAATAAACTCAGCTGGGAAAGGTTTCCTTTACAGTAAGCATATTCTAGTTTGGTGATCAGATACACACATATCCTGTTTGCCACACAGAGAGACCTTAAACAAAACGAAAAAGAAGGAAAAAAAAGAACAAGCAGATGTAGGTAGTGCAGCTACCATGCTCAGCAACAGTCAAGAACCTCTGTGCTCAACATCTACAGCTGGGCTGGGATTTTCTGCAGGACTGAGTTCCCAAAGTGCTGAAGTACTCTGAAAAATGTGATCCATCTTCAAAACACATTAATAAACATGTGTAAGCTGATGCAAGAGAACAGCTGGACAGGTGGAGACACAGAGGCCATACTCTGAACAGCCAAGTAGCTAACAACTTGATTTTATGTTGTAATACACTCCTCCTTTCCAATAACATTATTTACACTTTGAACTTGTTAGGCTTTCACTTGTTTACACTGAAGGCTCTGAATCATAAGACTGCAATGAGGCTCACACAAGCCTGCAAACCAGTATCTACCTGGTATCTTCAGAATTCTGTAGAGGTGCCTTGTGATTCTATAGCAACTGAAAGCAGACTGAGGATAGCACACCATACCTCCCATTTCAGGAGGCACAGGGGGACATGAAAAACCTCTGGCTCTTACAGTACTGCCTAAACATAAAGGACTCTCCCTTGTTTTACTTTAAGCCTGAGGAGAGTCTTCACATATTAGTCTAGGCATTTCAGAAAAACACTTTACACACCACAGACATGAGTTCAGAGGATTAGACAGGTGCTGAAAATCATGTACATGCTTAAGCAGTTTCCCCAGATAGAAATATACTGGCTCGGATGCCTGACAGTAAACATTACACCCAAAAGTCTATTAATTTTTTCAGGCATTATATGCAGCATTGAACGTTGAGATATTGGGTATTTTCCACTGCTCTTGCTACAGATAACTGCAGTTGCTACAAGGTATTATCCAGCTGTTCTTAAGGACAGTTTTGCAAGAACCACATTTACTTTATTTTTCCAGGGGTAAACTAACAGTTGTTGACAGCAGAAGCTGTATCACAACAAACCAGTAATAATAACAAGACTAGAAGGATTACAGCAGTGAATCTATTTGTAGTGTAAAAACTCATCACACATGCCATCATCTCTCAAGCTGCAAGGCTTACACATTTTTGCAGAATAGGAAAGGTTGGAAGGGACCACTACAGTCCAACCTCCCTGCCCAAGCAGGGCCACCTAGAGCACATTACTCAGCATTGTGTCCAGATGGCTTTTGATTATCTCCAGAGAAGGAGACTCTACAACTTCTCTGGGGAACCTGTTTCCATGCTCACTCACCCTTGCAGTAAAGAATTTCTTCCTTGTGTTCAGGTGGAACCTCCTGTGTTCCAGTTTCTGCCACTACCTCTCATTTAGTACAAATGGACATATTTGTATTAAGTAGTAGTGCAAAGAGACAAACAGATACTAAGTTTTTAAATGCAGTGGAAAGTCTGTGTGACAGTACAGAGGAACCTTCTGGAAGCTGGCACCTGATAAGATATTGCCAATAAAACAAAAGATCTCACACCAAAAATTACTAAAGCAGGAGATAACAGCAGAAAGGCTAAGATGGAGCTGAGTGAGACTGCTGCAGCTGCTGGTGAAAAGGCTTTCTACATTAAAGCTGCTGCAAAAACAAAGAAATCCCTGAAGGAAGAAACCTGCCAGATTCAGTGGATAAATTCCTGTACAAGGAAAATTCATTCTTTTGTACCATCCTGAAATGACAACTGATTTGCAGCTGGACCTTGCCTGTTTCTTTAATACTCCCTGCACCCAGCTGTAGCCACAGTCATTAGAGGCCAGTTATGCTCGAGGTTTTCTGTACAGAAAGGAGTCCTGCAGATAGAAAATCAACACAAAAAGCTCCTGTGCAGTGCTGACAACACTGTTCTTACCCTCCCTTTTGACTTATGCTGTACTTCTGCAGCAAATACTGTGGCATCAGAGTGCTGCAACTGCAGTGATATTTGCAGCAAGCAACACAAAGGCTCTATCTAGCCAGAAACTGAATCAGAGACAAGATTAATCACAATGAGGTACTACCACGGGGAAAGGAAAAAAAAAAAGAATCCTGTGATTATAATACTGTGAGAAATTCATGTTTTTAAATGCTGAATATCAAATCTCATTTGCACTGTTCCCATGTCACTAAATAACCCTGAAATGTTAAAAACATTTTTTATTTTCTGTACTTCTCACTCACTTCTGAATGCCATTTTACATTCACCACATGGATCTGACTTGACCTAAAATGATTTGTGAAATAATCTACAAAGACTAGACGAAACTGAGGCAATCCATGTACATGTTATGGCTTGAATATTGCCGGATTATCACTGAATACAGACAACAGCATATTTTCTATTGTTTTCATTGCACTTCCCTGTTTAAATGCAAGTGAAATTAGAGTAATAGAGATGCACTCTGATTGGATTAGGGAATTTTTTTCTTTTAAATTAGAGGCTTCCTGCCAATGCTGGGATGTTCTGACCTACATAAATATTTATGATGGGTCTAAAGGACTGATTTAGAAGCAAATCTGAGTACCCTCTATAAAGGCTCCTTATAATTCTGGTTTGTGCTACATATGGCTTTAGATAACTTACCACCCCCCCAAAAAAACTTATTTTCTGAGAGGCAGAAAAATACTGATTATTTTTCAGATATTCAGTTTCCTCAAATGCAAAAAACACGACCAGAAGTATTCCAATAATATGCACAACCAGAGCCAAAACCTCTGATATGGCCTAATAACTAGCAATGCATTACACTGTATACTGCATAGCTTTTAGAAATAGTTAGAAATTTATTCACTAACCAGTTATTAAACTTGGATAGTTCACAAAAATGAAAAGAACATTTTCAGATTCGAGGACAATTATTTAGTGCTTTGAAGATTTCAGGACACCTAAAGGTCGACCTGAGAAGGACAAACCACATTCACTGACTGGCATCTGCCAGTCATGTTTGCATTCACTTGAATATGCCACTTGTATTTCCATATCATAAGTAAGACTTTATTTCTCCATCTGCATTCTCACTCCTGCTGCCACTGAAACTGTGGCCATGAAACAGCAGTGTCATGTCTCTACAGTAACAGAACTCCTTTTTTTCAGGGTTCACCTTTGCCATCACAAGTACAATGCAACAGTAACACTCAAGTACATAATATCTTCATTATGGCTGAAAGTATTTGCATGCTCTGAAAGGTTCCTTATCAATTTCTATGAGGAAACAAATGTTAATTTAAAAAACCTAAAACATTCTTGTCAAAGGACAGAGGTACAAGAAAGGCAGACATCAATAGCTTACACAAAATGGAAGCAATTCAGAGCCTCTGGCTACCACCATTTCCACCCAGGTACATTCACTCTGGTTAGAAATGAACCACAGCAGTGCACAGCACCCTCAAGCCACACCTTAGAGCAGCTGAACAAAGCAATGGTAATGTTCTCTGCTGAACAGACAGGCACTATTTAACATGGTGTAAGGACACAAAAATTTCAGTATAAAAAGAATGTGACTACAAATTAAGAAAGCATTTTATTAATGATGAACAACAAAAAACCTTTGAAGTATGCTGAACGAGAGGAACCTAACAGTGGCAAGGTTGCAATGCTAAAAAAACTTCACTTTACTTACAGTTATTACCCTCCCCCTGCCAAGGCTTTCAACTCTAAGATCTTAAGCTTGAATCGCTGCTCTGATGCCCTGAAGTAAGATATTCAACCTGTCAAATTTTCACAAAAGACGCTGGCAACTAGTCTACTTTTCACAATAGACAAGGGGATTGTGAAGGGAGGTAAAAAATAAAAAAGGTTGATTCAAAGGAAAATAATTCTCAGACTTATATAATAAACTCAAGTCAATTAGAAACACCTACATTTTAGAAAACCGAAGATGTCTATGACCATTTTGTAACTATAAAACCTCTAGAAAGCTGATAAGTAAACCAACTGTTAATCTTCTGTTAAACAAAGTCTCAATTCATCCAAACACAAGCAGCAACTTCAATTCTCCTTTTTTTCATATTTTTCCCTTATGGATAATAACAGATTACCAAACAAACATGCAGACATTGCTAAAGGATTTCCAAGATATTAAAAACGTGCCATAAAGCAAGGTAACATCAGTGCTGACCACTGACGAAAGGATGCCTTGAGAGGCAGCCCATGCAAGCAAACCTCAGTTCCCAGCCTAAGCACTGAAAATAACAGAGGAACCACTTAATATTTTGCTCTCACGAGTTGGTGGATGAGCAGTTTCACTTTCAGAGAGGAGATTTCTTTAGCAAATGCAGACTTAGGGGAAAATGAAGACAGCAGTGGAGGAGAGCTTGTCCCCAAATCCACTGGCCCCACATGAGTGCAGCCTGTGAACTTCCAGGCAAAACAGGGCGGACACAGCCACCCACCCAAGCAGCCACCTGCATCTACACCAAGGAATACCTGCCCGTGATTAGGAAGGGCTAAGAACAAGCAGAAACCCTGATTAAGAGCAGCCAGCAGCGCTGGGCACTGGGGTTGCAGGGCACCGAGGCACTGTGTCAGAGGCAGAGCGCAGCAGGACAGCAGGCACGCTGCAGCCCAGCAGCGGCTCTGGCAGCCCGGCTGCTCCCGGCTCCTGCCATTTCCGCCTTTTAAGTCCAGAAAACGCTGCGGGCAGGCTCGGGAGTTTCAGCAGGGATGAGATCCAACTAGAGACAGATGAAGTCACCAAATGAATTTAGTTTTGACCTATCCAGGGTTTCGCTGCCCCCCTCCTCCTCTGTGGCGTGTATACATTCCGAGGTGAAAGGCTAAAGTAACACGGTGATTTACTCCAAGCATAACCTAATGGCAAATGAGATTTTGTAATACTATACAGCCCTCCTGACGGGGGGCCTGAGCAGCCTCCAAGCGCCTCACAAGGCTGCAGAGCCAGGCAAGAGCGGCAGTGAGTCAGCAGGAGACAGGCACTGAACATCCACGGGTTTCAGAAGAGGACAAGTCTGGGAACAAGGGAAAACAGGAGGATTCAACAAGGAGAAATGCAATGCCTTTCTCCTAACACATAGCTGCTGTTTTCTAACAAGAAACTGCAGTACACTGTAAAAACCCTGGCTGTCCAAGGTAGGCAAAGCTAAGGAGCAGAGCACTCCCATGGGAAACCTCTTGCACCAGCTAAGGAGGGACTGCAGTACAGCTTTCCCACTCACAAATGATGCACTATGATACAGAGCACAAGGATTTGGTCATGCATCAACTCTTCTCTCTCCTACATTAAAAACCAGTGCAGATATGCACTGATTTATGCATTGCAACATTTATTCTAACCTTAATATACACATATGTTAGAATCACAGGATATCAGGAGCTGGAAGGCGCCCACCAAGGATCATTGAGTCCAACTCTGTTCTTGCAGAAAATGAGGCCCTTTTCAAGTGGACTTCTAAGGCCACCTTCATGTTGAAAGTTTCCGGAGTGACACCAAGTAAAGGACAAGAAACAGCATTGCAACCACTCATGCAACCATCCCAGGACCCGTGGGCAAAGGTACCGGAGCACAGCGTGCACGACAGAGCTGCTGAGGTATTGGCCAGGCAGCCAGCTCCACTCCATCCCTGAACAAATCATCCTGGCAGGAAGGTGACAACACTGATCAGGGGTATAAGACAACATTTATTTTAAGCCCTGAAGCTGTAAACAAGCATGTGACAACAGATGAAGCAACAGGCAACCATGCTAGCTGCTTTCACTGGTACATCACTCTCTAAAACATGCCTGTAATGAAAATATTAAGCTTTAGTATGGTTGCCCAGGCTTCCCACTGCTATCACAGCTCTACTGCCATTTGGGAGGAAAAGAGAAGCACCAGGCTTTCTCCTGGGAATGCAGGACCAAGCTCCAGAGAACACCTGTGACATGAAGCAGCTGAAAGTCCCCTGCCAACACTGCCTCTGCAGACCACTGCACCAACACACTGCAGAGCCTTTTTCTAGGCCCTGACACCAACCTCTCTCCCTCTTCTCCCTCAACCACTGGTGAAAGCTAGACTAAAAAATAATAATAATGGCAATAATAAATCTTGGAGTTCTGACATCTCCAATGTTGTTGGTATAGGCCGAAATAAATACCTCTGTCATTGGCTTATTACAAACTCTCTACTCTCTACAAACCATTTCTAATATTATACAGCCTGCAAGTGTTAAGTCTAGCAGCCACAACACTTAAATTTGGTTTTGGATACCGAAGTAACTTGACCTCTTCCCTTGTTCTCATGAGTTAACACTATAACAGACAAAGAAGCACTCTTAAATTATTCTGGTGCCCAAAATACATAAATGACATATCTTAAGAATTAATCCTACCAAGTACTATCTAGAACAGGGCTGAATTTCTAAGTGCAATTGCTTAACTGCTAAATTAATTTTGGAGCGACTAAAACCAGAATTCACTAATCCTTCATGAAGTAAATTGCCCTGTAGGAACATTCTAGCTCAGCCATCTGTGATTTATGTAACATATTACTCTTGCTGTGTGCCAGTAACCACAGACTGATTTTACCATTGTTGCAGTACCAACATAATTGGTGTCTACCAGCATCAAGTAAAGCTTCGCCAAAACTTCTTTCTTCAACCATGTTGGTCTTTGAAGATCTGTGAAACTGCAACTTTTGGACAGATTTTAACTTTTAACATCTTCTGCCTATCTAAAGGGGGAAATCCCCAAAGCTTTGGTTTCTAAAGAATGTTCTCTAGAAGGTGCTTACTGCTTTGATGTAACTGTGATTGTAGAAACTGAATTGCTTACAACGTTCTTTATTACAAGCCCCAGTAAAGCCTTGCACCTTAAGCTAAGAGAAGCATAGATGTACTGTTTAATAGGATTTGGCCTCCTTTCATGGAATATCTTGAGGTTAATTCCTAAAGTGTATTGCTTCCAGCTGGCAAACAGTGACATTACCAAGTTCAACTCACAATAAACAAGGAAGAAAAAAGTTTATTGCTTGAATTGCCTTCAACTAGATTTAAGTGCATTTACTAAGGTAATCTGGGTTGCAATGTGGATATTTAGTTCCTTCAACCCTCTCAGTGTTGCTGCAGGCCATGCGACAAGAAAGTTCTGCACCACTCCCTGTAAAAGCACATCAAACTAGGCAGACATCTGACACAGTTTAAGAACTGTGCTCACAGTTAAAACATTTTCTGCATATTAAACTTATCAATAATGCTAACATTTTCTGCGTGAAAAAAGCTACAATCCCTTAAAAGCAGAACGAGCAATTTATCAGCTGTTAACTTTGAGACAATCTTTGGTTGCAATGTACACAATTGGTTTTATGATACAGCAAAACTGTGCCTTTGCTCTGTTGTGTCTCTACAAACTTTCGATCATCCCTGGGTACTAAACTGCAGAAGTTGCTCCCAGTGATTCAGAGAATGCAATGAAATTATATGAATATAAATTAATGCACTGCTTCAGCAGCAGTATAGCTTTCACAAGAATTAAACTAGAAAACGTCTGATATTGATGAAGTCATACTGAGACTGCATACATGTATTTTTCTTTTCCATTTCAAACCTTTGATGACAAGGCTGATTTTATCTCCCTGGAAGTACAAAAGTTGCTTCCAGATGATGTTCCTTTCATTTTTAAAGCACGTGATTTTGTTATTTTGTTTTTTGAGTCACGAGCTGTTTATGTTTATTAGAGCTACAGAATGGGATCATAAACTGACTCGGGTAGGCAGGGCACTCCAGAGAGATCTGCTCCAGCCTCCCAGTCACTGCAGAAAGAGCAAGAGAAGGCTGCCATTTGTCTCAGTTTCAAGTCTCTCCAAGGAGATATTCCACAGCCCCTTTGGCTAACTTCTGGGGTTTGACCATCCTGGCTGCGTGAACATTTCTCCCAATATCCAGAGTACTTTTTACTGCTGCAGCTGCTGACAGCCATTGCCTCTCATCCTTTCTCTTTCTGCAAAGGACCTGGCTCCATCTTCTTTACACACAGTTTCCCACTAGACAGATAAGAGTGCAGTGAGATCTTCCCCTCTCCTGAGCTGGCTCCTATCCAGACTGACCAAACACAGGTGACAAGCTCCAGCCCCCTGGCCATCCTGGTATCCCTCTGCCACACTCACTTCAGTATGTCATTGTCTCTCTCAAAGTGGAGAGGCCAAATCCAGACACGGTATGTGAGATGTGGTCTCAGAAGCACCAGAGGGGAAGAATCGCTTCCCCGGAGCCGCTGGCTCCATGCCTGCCAATGCAGCCCAGCATGGGCTTGGCCTTCTTCCCTGCACGAGCACACTGCTGACTCATGTTCATCTTGTTCACCAGCACCACCAGGTCCACACTGTGTAACTCTTCAGGAACAACTGGGGGGTGTGCATAATGTGGTAGTGGAAAAAAACACCTCACCATATTAAAAATAGAGCTGCTTGAGAGACAAGGCAGTTCTACAGCACCCCTGTGGAACTCACTTGACACTTGGGAACCACAGATTAAAAACCTGCACTAGAGAGCCAAACCTCTGCAGGCAGAAATATGCAGAATAACAAAATGGTTTGGGTTGGAAGGGACCTTAAAGATCATGTAGTTCTAGCCCCTCTGCTACGGGCAGCAACACCTTCCATTAAACCAGGCTGCTCAAAGCCTGATGCAATCTGGTCCTGAACATTTCCAGAAACGGAGCATCCACAACTTCTCTGAGCAACATTTTTCAGTGTCTCATCACCCCACAGTAAAGAATTTATTCTTAATACCTAATCTAAACATATTACCAGTTTGAAGCAATTGCTCCTTGTCTTGTAGTCTTACGACTACATACCCTTGTAAAAATTCCCCCTCCAGCTCTCTTGCAAGCCCCCTTTAGGTAATGGAAGGTTGTTCTAAAGTCTCCCCAGAGCCTCCTCTTCTCCAGGCTGAGCAACACCAGGTGTCTCAGCCTGTCTTCAGCGCAGATATATTAAAGGAAGTAAAAAATTTAAAAGATAATATTTCTTATGCCTCCTTGAATCTGACACCTAGCACAACATGAATGTGTTGACTGAAAACAGTGTATTTAGACCCTGATTCAGAATCTTCATCATGCATAACTTTGAAACATTATTATGGGCAAGCAGCAATATGGACCCCAAACAACTCAATTCAAAAAAATATAACAAACACCATTCTGCATAACAAGGTTTCCAACAGAATGACTAATTACAACTGAATGCTGTCCTTTTGGGAAAATGTATCCCTTCTATCCAACCAATTACCACTGCTTCCCTGTTCTCAGCACTCCTACACACCATGGTCTTTCTGTATACACAAGCTCCCGTGGGACTTTCATATCACTGGCTTATGTGTTCACTTCCATACAAACAATTACTCATAGATTCTATAGTTATTTTAACAAGCTATGATTTGTGTAACACCGAATCCATAAGTAAAACAAATGAGT